TGCTTACAAGATGTTTATCTAGGGTATATTCATCGTTTTCTGTGCTGACGGAAAACGGCGTTGATTTTCAACGTTTTTACGCCGTTTACACACCGTTTTCTTGGGCATGGGTAGGATTCAAACGTTAAAAAATAAAATAATCTGACTAAATCTGTCATCAGAAATTTAACTAGTTTTTATTATCAATTTTATTATCCATCACACAGAAATACTATAATTTTCATCACTTTTTAAGCCTGCAAAATCATTTAAGTAAGATTTTTTTATGAGTTTTAAACATGGGGAATACACAGATGGAACATCAAAATAAACCATAACACGTTCACAGCTCTCTATTGCGCAGAAAACTCTGAAATTCAACTGTGAATTTCTGAACTACCCAAGAGCATTCTCAAAAATCGGGCCATAAATTACACACTATAGAGCTTACCTGCGGATATGATTCATTCCAGCTTATATAACAGAGACGTCTATCAATCGATCTATCGTGAAGGCTCTCATAACCTACACAAGCCTGTTGTTTCAGGCATATCCCCTGCTTGAAACTTAAATAGTTAATATGAAAAAATCATCGAAACACCAAGAAATACTGCCTGAATTGACAAATCTTTCGCAAAGTTATAGCGTAAGAGTACTGAAAACTCTGGCTAATATAATGAATAACGATTACACTTGCTAGCTACTAACACAATAACACTGATATTTATTCACAAACCAAAACTAGAAAGTTAAAAAAAGATATTTTCCTTATTCTATACAATAGTGTATCATAATGAGTAGCTGCTTATCGACCTTGAATATAAATGCAAAAAAAAACACTTTCATGTTTTCCCACAACCCCGACAGAAGATTTCCTTTTTATAAGTTAAACAATTCGAGTGTGGGTTAGTTTCTATGCCTTTTCTGACACCAACACTTGGTATGTTGGGTTTGGATGTACACGCGTTGTCCGCCTTTCCTACCAGCCACACTTGGAGTAATTTAACGTGTTTCCGTTTTTCGAGGACACTGTCTCAAATTCTCAGCGTTCTCGTTCAAAACTAGGTGCTGCACATTTCGTCTTCAAGGGTTTGTTGTGAGTCGCTTTAAGTTCGACATTGGAGAGAAGAAAACCGGGAAGGAAATACAGTTATCTGGAATCTTCAATATATATTGTCTGAATCGATTTCCGTGAAAGTTTCAGTCCGAAAGCTCTCCCACAGCAAGCTGCGAGTAGCATCGAAGGAGTGTGTCGCTGAGATGTATGTGTAAAATAATTTTAGATCCGTAGTATTTTTTTAGCTAGAAGATAGAGTCAGCCGAAGATTTCTTAAAAAGCGATTTTCCGCTTGATTGTTGGCATAATTTATAAAATGGAAATTTGAAGGTATTCCTAAATTATAAATGGACTGCCAGTTTGACGATCTTTATCTTTTTCTTTGGGATGGTTTTTAAATGGGCGCGATTTTTTTGCATTTTTTTTCGAATTGTGAATAGTTATTTAGATGTCGATTTATATTCGAAGTCGAACTAGGCATCTCATGATTTTATATGATTGCTCGAATCAAAAATATGATTTCAGATTCGTGATCAGCACAAAAAGTTGACCATAAAAGGATCATTTGATTAAATACAAAGTTATCTAAGCTAAAAAAATGCCTACAGCATAGCAATAATTTGAAGAATTTTTTGGAGTACTTTCTGGTATGTCTATCTAATCATTAAGTCAGAGATCTAGAAATAAGAATTTTGCTTTATTTAGAATCTCTGAACTCTTAGCTTGAAAATCTGCTGTTTACTTTTCTCGGTTCATGTTGTATCGTTGAGAAAATTGGGCTTTTGTTTGATGCTGTCGAAAATCGATATAGATGTGTTAAAACTGCTATCGTTTATTTTAGAATCAGCGTATGAAACTACGTGGAATCATTAGTTTTTCGAAAATTTTCCCTGTATCCCACCCCAGGGTCGTTTTTTGAAGATTTTGTTTTTCTAAAAACTACTCGATTATACGTAGTTTCATATGCTGATTCTAAATCTGTAAATCATTTTGCAATCAGGATAACTGGTGATGATAGAAGCACCCATAAATGATAGCAGTTTTAACCCATTGATATGAATTTTCGACGACATCGATAAAGTCCAATTACTCAACAATAAAATAAAACCCGAGAAAAGTAAATAGCTGATTTTCAAGCTAAGTGTTCAGAGATTATAAATAAAGAAAAAATCCTACTTCTAGTTCTTTTAGTAAATGATTAAAAAGGCATACCAGAAAGTATTCGAAAAAATGCTTCAAATTATTGTTACGCTGTAGGTGTTTTTTAGTTGAACTAACTTTGTATTTAATCAAATGATATTTTTGTGATCAAATTTTGTGCTGATCACGAATCTAAAATCATATTTTGGGGTGTGGGTGTGTGGATATGACTGTATTTGTAACTCAACGACACCCACATCCACACCAACACCCATATTCACAAGTAGTGGTATTAATCATTGAAAATCAATAGATTTTCATTGATTGAAAACTACGCATTATCCGAATTCAAGTACATAAACAATATAGATGAAATGGAAAAAATTCATTTGAGATGTGGAGTACTTTTACGCTAAACGTACAGCAGGGATTTGATTTCTAGGCCTCCGAAAAACATTTTGTTTTTCTTGAGCAAAGAGATTGTATGGTTTTGATGATCAATTTTCAAAAAAAATTGGGAACTCTTCTTAACTCTGACTAATTCTGTAACAATCCTCTGATCAATCACTTAAGTCATTGAAAATCTTGCTCTCATCTAATCTTGGCAGCCTGCGATATCCGTGATTCCGAATTATTCTAAATCATCCCCATGTGTACATACTGAATGACTACTTTTTTTTAAATAATATTCAAGTAACTTTCAAGCATAAGAAAAATCATATAACGCAGACTAGTTACATCAATTTGATTTCAATAGTATTCAGTTAATTCGAAAAAAAGGATACATTTAGTAGTAGTAGTAGTATTTAAATAGTCACCTAGCTGAGCGACCAGTCGAATTCTTTACTATTTGTTTTCCTTTATGCTTGGAATCAGTTGTCTAAACACTTTGTCCAGTTTGCTCTTTACAATAACTAATATAATTATCTATGTATGCATATCCAATCGAAAAAGTACATTTTTGTGAAAGTATACTGACTATAGTGAGTTTCCCAAGATGAACCCCACGGATTTCAATGAACTTTTGTTCATGATACTGCACGATGTTATAGTAAACACATCAAAAGCCTTGAGGGTGTGGGTGTGGGTGTCGGTATGTATTAAGAGAATACACACCCACACCCTGATTCGTATTCCGTATCTTTCCAAACAGCTATTTCGAGAATTTGTTCTAATGAAACATCGGTTATTCAAACATTACAATCTTATCATCCAATAATTCATGTGCAAGTATATATATACTTGAATTAACATACGAAATGTTTTATTTGATCATTTAACTGAATCAACTCATTAACTATCTTGATCCACGATCTGAATATATCCGTGTCATTATTATTGAATGGTCAACAAAATTCTCAATTCCCATAGCACGCACTGTTTCAACAGATAATCAATATAGTTTACTCAGTGCTCGACATTGTGAAGGTTTAGATGGTTATAATCAACAAGTTGATTGATTTAAACTCTCTGTACAATTGTATACTGAAAAAAAATAAGTACTCTACGAAACCCTTGAAGAACCTCGAAGGTTCCGTATGATAAAGAAAAATGGTTTCGAATTCGTTGCAAATCTCGGAACCCTTTTAAGTTTCGTAGAGTGCTTATTTTTTTTTCAGTGTAGGATTATGGTGATAATCACAAAAAAAACGTTTTCTCAGCAACGAATTCTATTATGACTACTTGAGAACTAAAACAAAAATGTAATGATTTTGTGAACGAGGAATTTTAAGATTGCTTGTTCCTTTTCCGTTCAATTTTATTTTTTCGTGTACTCGACTCGTGCTTCGCACCGCATTTCGTATACGAGTGAAACTCGAATACCGTCTAGTTTCAATTCAGTTGCTATTAGATCTGTTTTCGTACAGTTTCATTTATCATTCAATAAATGTTTCAATTATGAGAACGCTATTTCAACAGATACCTTGCTTTTAATATAGAGAATATGAAAAGACTATCAACCATTGAAAAGTTGGTGATTAAATGAAAGAAAATACTAACAACTATCATTGATCGGATCTGACAATTTTCTTTACTGTTGAATCGTTATCATCTTCTTTTTGTTCTTATGTTTCTGTATGGATTATTAATCATATTAGTTATTTGCGTTCATCAAGTTAAGACACAAAAGAACGTATATGTTGATTTGTATGAATTAGATCGGCATTACTAAATACGATAGAAAGAAAAATATAACTAAACAATGGATTAAAAAATTAACTAGATGGTATTCAAGTTTCACTCGATTACGAAATGCGATGCGAAGCAGGAATCTCGATCCAGGAAAAATCTTCAATTCAGAGAAATCTTGAATACTTTTTTATGTCGACATAATGAAATTCATCACTGAGAAAACTCCATTCTTACTTAGCGATATANCAACATATATAAATCGACTCAGTTTTTAACGCTGATTCCGAATCTGATATTAGTTTTGAGCTAAACCGTAGCTTTCTGATGAAACATCGCCTGAAAAACGTCTCAAAATGCACAAAAACTGCATCCAGAAATCAAATCGCCTAGTTTCTCATAATAATTTTGGTGTTCAGACATTCTAGAATGGCTCATATGTCCCATGCCCTTTTTGCAATATACATAACTCTCGGATGAAATCCGAAGTTTCCACATTTGTTTATTATGCAAAAGAGAAAGAAGAGAAATGAAAACCACAAAATAGAGACAGTTTCTCATACAGTAGATAACCTGCTCTCTTCACGTTTTTTTTATTTCTAATGAATACTACAAATACTAACAGATTTTTCTAATATTGCTAAAAGCTACAGTTCATACAAGATAATTAAAAATTTGTTTTTTGAGCTGTTGTTTAGTATCGATGTAGTGATGTTTTATGAGGTATTGCTGCTGCTGGAATGTCGGCAAGAGCACTTGGTACATCAGCAAGAGCAAATGTGAAAATTTCTTCGCCAAATCCTCCACGAATGGCAATTTCCTTGCCTCTTGAATTTTTGCAACATAGTCCGCAAATGCAGCACATAATACAACATATGATGCTGCAACAATTCAATGATGGACAACTACTTCGCCCCGAAGCTGCATCGCTAATGGTACTAATATCTGACAAGAAGAGCATATTGTCAACACGCGTTCCAGTTCCGCAACATGCCCAATCTTGACGGCGCTGCAGAATACGAGCATCGGTCAAAGTTACTGTGAAAGTTGGTTCACATCCACATCCACCTGGTTTCTTGACATAAACTCTACTAATTTTTTCACCAGAACCAAGAGCAAAAATGTTATCTATCTCTCGTGGTTGTTCCCTAATTATTTGTTCAGGTTGAATCGTTGTCCTATTAATGTAAAGTATTCAATTGTGTTACAATCAGAGTGTCACACCTTAGCAAATCATATCCCAATTATTGTTGGCATACAGTTCTATTAAAAGCTACCTATAGGTTAATCTATTTTTACTCACTAATAATTAAGTATACAGTACGATGTATTGTTATCGAGCCATCTAATTAACATAATGTTTTTATTCAGAACTCATTGTACAAGCATTCCTGAATGGACTTATTTTATTGTAATGCTTAAGATTATTTCATATACTAAACTACTAAAAAGAGATTTACAAGCAATGTTATTTACTGAACAAAAGGTGAGCAAAGATTCAACGCTAAATTCAAAGTGAACCAGTATTCATTTTCAAACTGAAATTATTATTACTACATAAAACTTATCGCATTTGTCTTCATTCTGAAAAAATGACATCAATTTATCGAGAAGAGTACTCACATTTCGCGTTGATCCAGATTTTTCTTTGTTTTGAGAATGAATTGTGTTTAACGATTCGAATTCTAACAGTAGGCTGAACTAGTAGACTTAAAAAAAACGTTTTATACTATGTTGATAACTTATCTGACATATTGCTCGTCGCCTATTCTTTGTTTGCTGCCTGTTTGTTTGATATTCATGACTATCCTTCGTAGCAACAGTGTTCAAGGTCAACAGAACAAACATTGCTTCATCCCGTTTCAATGCAAGGTTGTACTCCACAATATAGTACTATCGAAGCAGTTCATTTTCTACATTCTTAAAAAGAAACTTTTGAACAACGATGAAGAAAAATAATTGTAACTAGTATATATTTTTATGAAAAGTGCGTAGATCAATAGTATTAATCAGAAAAATTATCCTGATACTGGCAATGATAAAGCGAAAGAAAATTAACAAATATGCCACATAAAATAGTATAATAGATTTTACATATCACTAGATGCACTTTCGTAGCAATGTATAATGGAAACGTAGATGAACACCCTTAACCAATCCATACTGAGATATCATTTGGATAACATCCTTTTAGGAGATGTACCTAACTTTTAGCTTACGTAAAAAATGTCCCTGAAATTCGTCCTTCAGCAGGTATCCTCCAAAATAAATGTCCTTGGTGAAAATGTCCTTCATCCTCAACTGTAGTTATCTAAAGATTATATAATTCACACAATTTGCGAGATATCAAAATTGTCTATAAAGAGAATTTTTTCTTCGATACACAATTAATCGTAAACGGATGAAAGTAATAACTTGTTTCATGATTTCTTACGTCCACTTTCTTTCAACTGCTGTAAATGAAATTTGAAACGATACTAAGATCTACTATAGTAACTAAAGTTGCACTGCTTATTTTATCATCAAACATTGCTTCTATATCACTGATATGGAACTTTTGTCAAACACACTTTTTCAAGAACATTCGTAACAGGTGTCACCGCACTTACTCTGTCTCCATGAATCTATCAGAGGGAGAAGCTTAATTCTTTCTATCATTTCGTGTTCACGTTTTTTTCTTAGGCATCATCAAAACTGGCTACCCAACTTTCGTATGTAGTGTTGATTTTCAAGAGATTTCTTTTATCCAAATTTCTATGAATGTCGACCGGAACGAACATATCAGTTTTTGTCTCATCAAATCCAACATAAGGTAAAAGTTGTTCTGTGTTTTGTGAAACACGATCTGAAAGGAGTGTTGAAATATATAGGGTAAAAATTTGGACCTATCCCCAGCTCCCCCCTCCCACAGACCATTACAGAGAAATTAATTAATTATTTATTTATCTGTAACGGTCTGTGATGGTCTCTAACAACTCCATACATCATGATATAGAACGTGACAGAAAAGTTCCACATATTCCCACAGACCATGGCCGAAAGGCTCCATATATAATTACAGGCAGTGGCAAAAAAGGGGCAAAGACTCATAGACCATGGTAGACGGGTTCCAGCAAAGAAGTTTCATCGTGTTTCATATTTTAATCACAGAGAGATTGGGCTGACAGCTTTTAGTATCGTACAGCTCGTGTTTTCTTTCTCAAGTAGTTAAGTCATTAAAAGTTTGAGTCGATTTTACAAACGCGACTTTTTTTTATTACAGTTGCTATAATATCTGTATAGAATTTTACATGAGCCGTGTCTACGAGCTGAAGATAATTCATTGTCCTCGAATTAAATTTCATTTTCTTTCATCTAAACTGAATTATAAGCCATATTCATTCGACTTCTATATCTACTTCAAAATTTTCTCTTATTCGGTTGACATAATTTTCTCGATCTAAAAAAAATAGTGACTCAATAAATTATGGATTCGATACTGTATTATACGTTATTATTTGTGTTTTAGCAACGTGCAAATCCAATTTAAATCTATGTTCAGGATGCCTGTTTTTTAACATGTAAAAACTATTATCATCATATGAAGACATGAATACATTTGTGAAAATCATTAGCTAGTGAGAAAATAGCTAGAATTCAGTATGTTCTGATGATTCTAATCAATCACCATACAATTCGTGTTCACTAATATACCACACTGTTTTATTAACATTTTCTGCGCCAAATATTGACAAGATAGTATTGTATGTTGTGATTGAATCAAGTTCTTGATCAGAGTTTGATGATTCATCTATTTCTTCCGTATTTCCGAACCAACATGGTACATGATCAAGAATTTCTGTACTAAAATGTTGACGGGAAAATTTTCTGTACAATTTCGTGCTGAGAATATGATGATGTCAAACTTTTGTCAACCATAACTGATGGCACAAACATACCATCTTTATTTTTGAGAACTGTGTAAAAGTGCTTCAATTCAACAAGCGTAGATTTTATATCATAATCACACATATGTTCATGGTCCTGCAGCCGTTCAGTAAGATAACGCAGTTCTAATTCTGATATTTCCAATGAAATTATATCGGGATCAATCACAACAGAAACTAGCATGAGCATAATGACTTTCGAATACCAACTGTAGTAGAATTCAACCGTTTTTAAGAAAACAATATCCTATTTAATATAAATCTGTGGAAGAAAATACGATGTATATTTCATATTAGTAGAGAGAAAGAATGAAATTTATCACTTCTGGTCAAATTAAGTGAAAGTATCTTTTGAAGCAGTGATATCACGAAGTATAAACAAATTTTAATATGTATCGAAAAGCGAATTATATAGCTATAGTTCGTTTTATTTAAGAATATAGCTACTATTTTTTGTTACTCTGCAACAATTACTGTAGAAAATATAAACTCGATACAAAAGCTAACTAGATTTTGTAGAAAACTTAATATATCATATTTACATTAATTCTCCATGTTGAAAATCCTAACAAACTAAAAAGCCAACAATAATCACATTGAAACGTTAATTACACAGGCTTTTATTGTTTTCTTAAGTGTTGATGAAATCATCTACTCGAAATGTTCTAGAACTTCTAGGGTAGATTTCACCATATTATATCAAATGTTATTTTTATAAGTATAGGCTTTCGAATACGTATTAGCTGTTTTGTTCGAGTTGCCCAGAAACATCATATACATATGTTAATGATCTATGAATGGTTTCTAATCTACGGAATTCTTGTGCATTCACCATTGATTCAGATAACCATGAAGCTTCAATGCTCAAGAATTGCCATTGCTATATATTGTTTTTATGAGTTTACTAGCTGATACAAGTAAAGTACAATATTAATATTAATTTTGATGATACTAAGACTTTTAATTTTTACTTATTAACCTATCATAAATGAGTTTCTTGACAAAATATAACTAATAAGGTACAACTCAATAAGTAATACAAGGTTGTACAGATATTTTATAGTTAGACAAATTTTATTAATTGATCACGTGTACTGTATCGACAGTATCAAATTCTCTATATTTAATACTACAGTTTCTTATTATAATGTGACTACGGTGATGGTCAATGTAACGTACCTTTTCGTGTGATTTATCAGCGAATATTATCTTTCGTTTCTGTTGAAAAGAAAAGTTCGATTCATATTCTTTGTGCATGAATGGCTCTCGTACTTATTCTCTTTTTTTTCTTCCTTTACCTAATAGAGTGATCTTACAAAAAAATTTAAACATAGTTTGTATATTTTTTGTTTTTTGTCGGTAATCACGTTTTTAGTCACGCATCCATATACAATTACATATAGAGTATAATTTGGTTCGATATTTTTTCGTTAAGTTTGATCAAAATTTCTTGAGTTCAAAGAGTTCAAATCAACTGTATAACTGCGTATTACTTTGTTCAAAAAATCTGCAATATAATGAAATTAGATCTTACGAAGCATAATTGCTATAAAACATTCTTGCAGGATATTTTTTAAAAGAGCATCTTTCGATATGTACTGATGATATATATTTAAGATTAAACTCCCAGGTCGAACATTCCGGCCACTGGATCCCGTAGGATACTTCAGGAAATATGCGGGAAAGTCGCCATATCCTGCAGGAAAACATCGGAAATCGCTGGAACATGAAAGCAGTATTCCGGTCAAAAATACGGTCGAACTTTTCCGGCAGGAATTGATCGGAAATCACCGGAAAAAATGCGAAAATTTTCCAACCGGAATCGGCCGTTTTCAGGCCGGACTGTTCGACCTGGACTATACCTTCACCGCATCTCAAGATACATGTTTATTGTTTCTTTTTGATAGTACTTGAAAATTGTTATGTAGAATCTTGAGGAATACTTTCAAATTAATAAAGAACACAGCACATGTTGACAAAGCATCGCTGTTATTATTTGAGTGCAAACACAATCATTTATCATTTTAGTTTTAGTTTTATTTCATATTCGATTCAATTTAATCGATTATTCAAGAGCAAGATTTAAGACTAGCATATTTATTTCCAATTAATTCATGTACACCTGCTTTTCAGTTTAACTGTACAATTTTGTTTTGTATGTAAAACCAAGAAGCAAAAACAAAACGTATGTTAGGAAAATACTAAAGAATTTTAACAAAAAGAGAGAACCTAAAATCTGCACAATATTTTGATATATTACATATTTTTACGTAACTGATAGCGTAAATGTGATCCATAAGAAGAAAAAACATCGACATCACATAGTATCATTCCAGCTTTGGCATTAGATTTCCAGGAGCCTTCATTATCCACTCTGGCCGTAGCGACTACTGCCGTAAGCGGATGATAATTTACTCTATAGCCTTCCTGTTTTAATCGAGCAGCATATTGCAATAAAGTACATGCCTCTACTGTGCCAATCCCAGAATATGCTTTTCTATTGATAATATTAGAATCCATAATTGCATAAGTTGAAACTACGTCTGGTGGATGACTCCAACATTCCGATCTGTTCAAGCGAGCCATCTCTGAAGTACCAGGCTCGGGGCCAGACCCCAAATTGACCATACCCAGAAACGTCTCTGTCTGGGCATCAGAAACTATGAATCCACTATAGAGATGCAGAGGCGAGTTTTTGTTTCGAAATCTACTCACTAATGTATTTACTCTTGCAGTTGTCGCAGCCAGAGACAAGGTGTTACCATCACCATATTTTTTTCTAACCAAAGGCTGACTATTTAAATAATGGTAGACATCATCGATGTCTTTTTCTTTTATCGACTCAAAGCAATATTGTATTCCATTATGTTGCACTTCCATATGTACTTTAGTGGTTTCATCTGACTCTGTTTCAATATCGATGTGTGATTGTGGAGCTTGAAAATCCTTGTGAGCTTCAGCATATCGATTAAATATCGCTTTTGCGTCTTCAATGCAGCATGATGAATCTTCTTCATAAGTTGACATCATCTAATATTTCGATTACACTACAAATTTGATAGTACTGAATAGTAAATGAATAAACAATAATCTGCATAGTAAATATAGATTTTATTTTAAAAAGTACTTCCAAGAACTAAGTGTATAAATTGGGATGGATATCTTTATTTCAATCAAAGGTAGACTCTTGAAAATTTCTTTGAAATCATCAAATATCTCATTCAACTTAAGCGAACAGTTCTACTCAACAATTTTCGAAAGAACTGAAGAGTGATATAGCAAAACCAGACGAAAACAGAAGAGAATTTTGAAAATAAAGGAATGCTCAAAGTATTCAAATGGATCAAACAGACGAAACTCATTGATATTGGAGTATTCTGAAGTTTTATGCAAAATTCTAAGTTCAAGAAAATCTACTTTAACTTCAATGCAGAAAGCGTCTGAACCTCATAGTTCTCTCTCGTATAGGTAGCGCCAACAATATTCGGATATTTATAGTTGTATAGAACGTAAAAAAAGTATCATGAATAATTTTTCTACAAAGTTCAGACACGCTACTGAATTTATTTTCAAACAAATGATCCACTAAATCCTTGTATCGTTGCTTAATGAAAGCATTTAGAAGTGTTGCATTTGCATGAAAAAGATTCTAGCGACTTCACGGTAAAAACTGAAGATTTCCTGATGGTGATGGCGCAATTTTAGGCACATGGTGAACTAGAAAAGCGGAGATGTTTACTGTATTTCTTGGTCTCTTCGGTGAAAATAATATTTAACTAAATAAGTTGTTAAAAACATGAACTTAAAATTCTGGGCACGTGCTGGCTTTGTTTTTGCGCATATACTTTGTCTCTGATGCACAATTCATGCTATGAGTAAAATAAAGGTAAATAAAGGAAGCACGTGCGCTAAGGACGACAGAAAAAGATTGTGCTACTTCCATCGCACATATGTGTAAAGTATGCGCGACGATGCGACTGACGTCAGTAGCAATGAAATTTGTTGTAATCAGTTTCAACGTCATCACGTCGTCAAATACGTTAACACTAATGTAAATTATATTGTGCTCTTTTTTCGTTAGATGTCGCGTTGTGTTATTCAAGAACCAATTCATTTCTCAATAGTTTTAATCGTAGAATTACGGGTGCTTGAATGTTGCTTTTTCATGTTCGAATGCCAGCGTCTCATAGAGTTTACAGAAGTAGATGAAAGAAGAATGAAGGAATAACACAATAGTAATGTCAGATATAATGTATTTTTCATGCAAATGTCCCAACTTCATTATCAATCGTGCTTCAGTAAAAGGTTCATTATGTAAAATATCGAAAACGTTTGATAAAAACATTACTAAACTAACGATTATCATGTAGCATCACTGAAAATCCCGATGAATCATTGAGAATATCTCGAGTATGCGCTACATTTTCATTTGTATTCTGAAGCAAATATGTATGTACTTATTAACTGTCAAGAATAGCCTATACTCCCGTGAAATAAAAAGTTATTCAGTATTTTATATTTTTCATAAGAGACCTGTTTCAAGAATCTATCCGGCTGCAATCTAGTCTTACGAAAACTCTCTAATCTTGTAAATTGAATTCAATGGCATAATGACTCTGCAAAGTTCCATGATTCTGGAGCAACCATATCGACAGGCATGACGGGATGTTTGTTGGAAACCTGTAAACTAGCACGTTAATTGAATCTAACTTTTGAATTTGACATATTTAGTCTATCAGGATCTTCTGAGCATGGTAGAACCTACTGGATCCTATAGTTGCTAGTGATAAGAATTACTAAAAAACAAACAATTAACTATAAAGGTTTATTAGCGTCATCGTGTAGCTCTCATGAAGTGTCACATCCGTAATTCAAGCAGTTTTCCAATTGATGTTATGCTTTTTCCGAACGGTCTTAATTCTTTTTTTGAACTTAGCGTACTATATCGTTTCGTAGATAATAGTAAGAAAATTAGAATTCAGTTGAACATCGCTGGTACGACATTCTGATACAATGTGCACGGTTGAATGAAAAGATGAATCTTAGCAAAAATCTACTGTAATCATATGAACACGAAGTTATTGGTTTGTAAGAGAGAAATATAATTTAAACATGCAGGTTTTTTTAATATTTTTACAAAATGATTCAATCAATGAATCTATCAATAATTTCATCACTAGATTCTGATGATACAATCGAAGTAGATTCTTCGGCAATATCAAGTAAATCAATCAATGTTGATGTTGTATCACCACTACCATCATTCAAATTTAAATGACGTTCAATAATATTAATAGTTGTTTGTGTGATTTGATCAGTGCCTTGTTGTATAGATCTATATGGTAATTCTTCTGGACTATCATTATTTGTACGAACGATTGCTGGTATTTCGATAGTTGAATAATTTTCATTCAAAGTTGGCCTTCGAATAACTGAATTTGCTTGTGCTTCAATTTTATCGAGAACTGAATCAATATTATCAAGAATTGAATGGATCTGTGTTACCATCATTGATTGAAGCGGTATAGGAGATTCATCGCTATGAAATGGCATCGATGATCGACGAGCAATTGACTGTTCTGTATGTGTTATTATTGGTGAAGGTGGTGGCGATTTTGTTATTATTGATGTATAACTTGGTGATCTAGATAAAGACATTGACGTTGGCTGAAATTGTAAATCATCATCAATGATAGAATGAAATTTCTTTCGTTCAGTATTATCTTCATTGATTAGTCTTTTATTTGATAATTCTGGATTCAGAGACAGTGATGATGAACTACCACCAAATACACGGCAGACAAATTGTTTTGCTTTTTCAAAGACTCCTGATGTACTTGATAGAACCTTGAGTAAAAAAAAACTGTTAACGAAATTTTCGATAGGCTTCTAATGTATTTCTGTGGGAGATTAAGTTCGAATCTTTGTCTCTTCACTGCATCTCATCTTCTATATTAAGTTTTTTTAATGTTACGACTATAATCTAAGTTCAGCAAAAAAAAAAGAGAAAGCAAACAAACTTTAGTAACATTAGATGTTGTAGCAACAGGAATTGTCGGTTCTGTCTCTTTTGAATTTTCTATTTTAGTCACTTGATCTTCCGAGTTTTTAATATTCTGGTTGGATTGAAATTTTTTCACAAGAAAATATTGTCGATATTCATTACACAATAATTCATTGACTTCTTTATTTATTTTTAATGGTCTACAAATGAAAATTTTCCTTCTCAAATGTACTATGGAATTAAATATGGCATACTCGCAATTTTTGAGCGTTTCAATTAGATTTAAACGATATTGATTATTGGTAAAAAGTTCCAAAAGTATTGTTAGACTATCGGATGTTATAAATGTGTGAATCTAATTTAAAAATATGATTTTTGCGGATTGTAAAACAAAAATAATTGAAGAATATTACAAAGGGCACTAATTGGTTAATTGCTTGCAAACGATATTGTTCATCGTTGAAGATAGAAAAAAACAATTGAAGTGTATTCGGATTGAATTGTAGATGATTTAGATGAGATTTAAGTGTAACAAGCATTTGTAATCGGTCAATATCATTATCAAGTCGATTTAACTCTCGACATAATATATCCACTGGTGATATGATTTTATTTATCATTATTCAAAGCATATTTTCAAACAAAAGAGCGATCAAAAAACACTAAAACTAGTTTCAAATTGACTTCCGCAAAAATTTACCTCATAGAGAAAAATAGCGCCAACAGAATTATATACATTTCGATAAATATTATATTCAATGACCGTATGAATGAAAAATAGTTCCATTGAACGTCAAAAAATAGCTATGCGAGTGTTAATGATTTTATTTCGGAATTCAAATTTCTAATAGTAGCTAGACGAAATAATTTCACTTGGAGACTTTTCCTTGCATCGTTCTTCAAGAACGAAATACATTACACAAGTGTGTTGGAAGAGTTTGAATACAACTGCATCTTTACTGACATTGTTCTTGAAGCATAGTGTTTTTGCTCTCCGTGCTTCAAGTACTTCGACAGAGATGAAATCTGAATACATCTTGCGAAGCAACTTCTACTATTTAGATTAATATTAATATAGTCTTCTGCTTGATATGAACGAAATATCTGTAGAATAAATGATGATCTCATACAAATTAGTTTATATAATATATCATGTGTAAATCATTTCAATGAAAATAACGAATAAACCACATACGAGTGATGCTAGACACATTACTCACAAATTTAAAATAATCTATACGATTATTATAAAGCCAGTATATTTTTAGAAATGACGCTTCATTATGAACAAATGCATTCAGCATCGATTAATTGAATAAGTAGAAATCTCTTATATTTTTTTTGTCCTCATAACAATTCTTCATACAAATGATAAGTCAGTGTTGGAGCAGAAGTTACCGACGAACTTCGTCGCGATAATGATGCTATATTATATAAAGCAGGTGCTACAATAGGTATCGATGATAATGATGTTGATGGTGTTGTTGAAGTTGATGGTGAATATGAACATGCTTTTTTCTTCATTCTTTTTCTCCAAATAAAAAATAATACTATACTAATAATAGTAGCAAATAAAGCTCCACCAAAAATGCCAGCTACGATGGCAGCAATATTGATGTGTGACGCATCCAATTGTGCAATTGATGTTGTTGCTTGATCTTTAGTACGGAAAAAAGTCATATGATCGTTCTTTAAATAAATAAATTCGTAATTACCTCTACATGTTGGTCCAATGAATCCATTAAAGCAATCGCACGTTTTATTATTAAGGCATATCCCATTTCCGGAGTTAACACATATAACACATGGATCTATAACGTCTAGAATATAGAATTGAACAGTGAAAAAAATGTATATTGCTTATCGGTGAGATTTCAAACTTTCAGAATGAATTCTTTCACAGTAACGCTTTTTGCAAAAAATCTTTATTCAATTTCATAACATCAATTTGTAAGCGTTAATTTTCTAACTACAGGAAACTACAATTTCAAAAATAGAAGCATTTCTCTAGAGATCCCCATAGGTCCTTTAATAAATATTTTTGCAATCTCTGATCTTCGAAAGATTCTAACGAATGATTTTTATTTTTTGAAATTTTCTATTCGATTATGCGAACGTCTACTGGTTGCAAGCTTTTGCACGCACATAATCTAATCTCATAAATAGGCGAAATGATGCACTTGACAGTTTTCAAAAATACTGTCCTACATGAATTTTAATCAAAGAAATTTCAAGAAATTCAGATTCAGCACAGATGTACAAAACGTTTTATCCAGTTAAATTCTGTTCCTACTAACCTTGTGAACGAAAAGCGACCATGTCTATGAAAAAAATTGACACTATGGCCGAATAGATGCTTAGCTTGTTCTATTCTTCTCTTTCGATTGTTTTTTCGCTTCACTGTTGCATTCTCTTTTTTTTTGAAGAATGCAATTGAAATTTTAATGGACAACACAAAGAAACACTACTTCAAAAAAATGAAAAATAAATCTTGAAAGGAAAGAAATTGTCTATCCACTTGTCTTTTTTTCATTAATGTGCTTTTATAATGCAAGAATTGAAAAAACGATAAAAAAAAGCAAAACAGATTTTCTTCCACGGTTTATTAGAACGTTCTTTTCGCTCTTTTCCTGTTGTATAATATTCAATCAAAACTTAGGTTTCTTAGTTCATATTTCTCTAATTAAAATTATCTCGCTTACTGCCATAGTTTATAACTTCATGACTCTTTTCTGTCCATTGATGGTGGTTTCATACATTTTCAATATAAAATTGGCAGTGTTGGTCAAACTATGCGACATACTCATTGAGTGAAAAAATCATAACACTGGACGTCCATAAGATCACCAAAAGAAGGACCCCGTCTATAGCACGATATAGAAGAATAAAAAAAAAGGGGAGTGCCGTGACCCGGGATCGAACCAGGGACCTTCAGATCTTCAGTCTGACGCTCTCCCAACTGAGCTATCCCGGCGAAATACCTTTGACATAAACCTGTTTAAATATTTTATTCTTTATGTTTTATTTTTACAAATTTCAACAACATTATGATTCAGCTTTTTCAACATAATCTTTAAATAAATTTCGTTTCTGTTGCCGTTCATAATAAGCTTGTTGAGCCATATCTAACACTTGTCCAACCGTTCGTTTTTCACATAATCGACGTATTCTTTCAATTCTTGTTTCTTCTGCTAGTCGTTTCTTTTCGTGTGCTATTGGCATACATATGAATGCATCATTTTCTTTTGTATTTGTTGTTTTTTTATCTTTATCTTTATCTTTTTGTTGTTTATTCTTTTTACCGCTTTGACCAACACCCATTTCAAGTTGTTCATCATCATAGACTTGACTTTTTTCATCATTAATACGTCGAACTTTAACTGCTGCTGTCGATGGTGTTGCCTTTGGTAATTCATGTGTGATGCGTTCTTCACTGATATCTTCGTCCTTATGTTCACGATGATTAGTAGCAACACGATTATGCTTTTCACGTGCGCGTACGTACATATTACCATTATCATCTATATCATTCGAATCATTGGTTTCCATTTGATCATCATCATTGTCTGTTCGTGAACGAATTTGGCGAGCTTTTTGAATAGCTGAAGATTCTAAAAAAATATAAAAATTGAATGAATATAAATGTTTTGTTTTTGCTTTTTTGTTTTACCTTTTTCAGTACTTTTGAAAGGTTCAGTTTTAACTTTTTCACTTTCTTCAAGAATAGTTGCATCACCTAAATAATGAATAAAAGTCATTGACTATTGCTTTTCTGTAAATAAAACACAAAACAAAACATTACCTGTTCGGAGTTTGAATTGAAATCTATAAAAAGCATCCATATTATCTTGTTGTAAAACATTCAATAATGCTTCTCGTTTATCTTCAAGTTTTTCACGTTCTAAATCAGCTTGTCGTTCAGCTAATTTAGCTTTATATCCCGATGTAACAAATACTTCTTTATCTGCAAAGAGATCACCTTCTTGCTCACGTTCACGTTGTATTCGTCGTTCTAGAACTCTTTCGTATTCTTTTTCACGTACTTTACTTTTTTCTAAAAGTCCTGTAACATATTTTGGTTGTCGAAATGTATTTGTTTCGCGTTCAAGGCGTTTTTTTTCTTCACGTTTTTGCTCTTGTTGTACTGTTGAACTCACTTGCTCATGAATTTCATCATAGTCAAAAATAGTTGGATCTTGTTCCAGGGCTTCTTCAATGTCACGTTGTGCCTTGGGATTGCAAGCAAGACGACTTGATGTTGGAGGTTTATTGAATTTTGTCGATGAAGTTGTAGGTGTTACATCGTCATCATCATCAAGACAGAATGCAGCTGCTGCTAAACAACTTCTATTGATTGGTGCTAAAGTAGCTGTTGTGGTTATTTTTGATTTTGGTTTACTAGGAAATGATAAACCGAATGGTCGTTTTGAAGTCGATGGATTGTCACCAGCAGACATAATCTAAAACTAATTGAAAATTTTTTGATAGAAGTAATAATTTTATTTTTTGCGAAGAAGATTTCAATGTGTAAAGCGCATATGTGTATCCTGTAACGCAATCTAAACAGAAAGAAATATGACAGGTACTGCCTGCATATTAGTGTGAGTTAGTAAGCTGTTATCGAATAGACAAGTTAGTCTATCGAAAGTATTCAAAACCATTAGAATTGAATGGTGAATGGTAAAATGGAAATTCGAAGAATATTTGTCAATGTAGAGATTTCAAAAGAAAAGAATTTTCATACTCACTCCTATTGCTGATACTTTTGTGCTAACTATTTCAAGAGATGAAACTTCGAAATTCTAGCCTATGCGTCAATTTAATCAGAATTTTTTTCTTTGATCAACATCATTTGTCATGTTCTTCTGAATTTTCAGTGAAATAAATATAAAAAAGAAATCTTCCTATGTATAGAAAAACTTGATTTTCTATTGCATCAATTTGATACATTCATTTATTTCAAAAGAACAAAACTATTCACATTTGACAATCAAGTAATCCAACTAAAATCATGACGAGGACCCTCTCTGTATTTTTTCATACCAGCGCCATCTTACTTGCTTCTTATTTTAAATAAAAAGTCAATGATTTATTTATTTATTCTTCTTTACTTTTTGTTTAAATAGACTATTTCATCAAGGGTGACCTATTAAAAAAACGAACAAAAATCAAAAACAAAAGAAGTTTGTCGCCTAGCATCCGCTTAGATAATGGTAGTAAATCGACGAATCATGAAATATTTAATTGAAACAAAGAATGTCAGTTGGACAAAACAACTGTTTTCTGTGTTTTTAATACATTGTACATATTTCCTCGTAATTTTTAATGTTTCATACTGAATCACATTGGCCACCACAACATCTTATGATTCAAAATAAACAAAATATTATCACATTCTTATTCATCGATTAACTACATCAGATTCATAGAAAAAAAAATAAAGCAATGCTCGACAGCGAACAATTCGTTAATAATCATCATATACATGATTCTCCGTCGTTGCAACGAATTCAAAGAAAAATTACTAAACAAAAGTTAGCTGCAGGTAGATACTGATTTTTAGGATATATAAACTATCGAACTCAACTTAGTATCTGTGACAGAAACATTAACATGAAAAAATTTTCTTTTTGTGGTGTAGTAGATTTTTGTAATTATGAATGAAATCTATCTAGGACGTTTTCGAAGGTTACGATTATTTACATAATGCCTATTAATACTTGTAAAAAGATGAAGTGTCGACTGAAAAAACAAATTTTAATTGTGAAAAATATCATTTGATCGAGTGCAAACTCCAGTAGGAAAAACACGGCATCCTTCATTCGTTTCTTACGGATATTTTTCTAACGACTTAAATAAATCGATTGTTTTAGAAGCAAATAGAATTTTATGTGACGATCTCAAATCAATAAAACCAGTCGGTTCATATGATCATTTTTAAGGGTGCATTTGATTACTTTTTATGAGTTTCTTCAAACATTATTGTTGTGTCGCCTTCAAAATTCAATAAAAGACTAGCAGCTATTCAAATTTTGAATAATAATATTCAAAATTTTTTTAATATAACCAAGGACTAAATTTAAATCAAAATATTGTTTATCTTAATAGAACGTCGTAGTGAGCAGTCGAACGGTGACCATATGTTTGAATCTTCACGTCCTAATATGCAAAATCTTTATTATTCTCCTCATCATCAACAACATTCATCTGCACATCAATCATATTCGTCTGAACTGGATAACGTTCTTAGACATTCATCAAATTCAAGAATGCTACACGGGGATAGTGATGCTATTCTAACAGGTTCTTTTGAACAACAACAATTTCATCAACCAAATTCACGTAAAATTACTAGAATTATACCAAGTATGTAATTCCAAAATATAATATCAACCAAATTCTAATCAAATAATTTTTATTTTCATTAAAATAGAAGAAAATTATTCAATGTCAAATACTCGACCTATTCAACCACGCAGTGCAAGTGCGTCCGTAGTCAGTTCAAGAATGAGACGCGAAGCTCAGGATTCGTCTCTCACACCCAATGATATACAACGTTTAAGACATGTTCGCCGACACGAACCCGCTCATGTTCAATCGGGCACTAGAACAGGTAAAATAAATTTCCAATTTTTCTATTTTTATTTAATATAAACATTAGGTTTTATGACTCCTGATGCATGGAAAACGGATCCAGTTGTTTTTAAAAAGCCACCACCGGTAAAAAAACCTACAACCCAAAATGTTAGTAAACCACCTAGAACTGGTCACATAGCAAAAGCAATTGCTGAACAGTCAACCACCGAACAGAAACCAAGAACAGAAAAAAAAGTCAAACCAAAACGTGACACAAGTTTGTTTTCTTCATCTTATACGCATTTTTACAATAGAAAATTCTAACGATTTATTTCCCCATCGATAATCACAGCCACTTTACTGATGGGCCCAAATTTTTTAATCTTAAATTTTTTATTGCATAAAAAAATCTGTGATTATGATTAGGTGCGCCGAAACCATCTACGACTGAAACAGTACCTGATAAACCGGCACCGAAACGTATGTTTGTTGTGAAAAGTTTCTCTATTATTGTTTTTCTGTGTAGCTGAAAGAACGAAAGAAGAAAAAGAAAAACTTCAGAAGTACATTCTTGAAAAACGCGAGGAACATGAAAAACAACGTTCGAACGAGAAAAAAATCAGATCTATAGAAGAAAATGACAGAAAAGATAAATTAAAAAAGCTGAATGCACAAATAAAAACAGTTGCTCAACAACCTCTGCCAGCTTCATTACTGAAAAAGTCATCAGTAGCAGTAAGTTTCATTTTGAATTTTAAAAAAAGATTCGAAGAACTACTTTTTAATTAAAGATACATTCAAATGATATTACTGAACACAAACGAGAACGACTTCTTAGTCTACTTGGTCCAAGACCTATCATTGAACCACCGACAGAATATCATCGTAATACACCATTTGAAAATTCTTCATTACACGAACGTTCATCATCATCATCATCATCATCATCATCATCGAGTTCGGAATCAGTCGTGGAAATTCAGCCACCTAAATTGTAGGATAATTACCAAAGAATTATTTTTTCTTTTAGTGCTTTTCTTTGTAGAAATGATACAGCAAACATTGGTTCGCGTCTTGAACCGCCAATTCAAAATTCTTTCTCTCACGGTCTTCCAAACGATGTTAAACAACGACATCAAAATATACTTCGATGGGCGAATAATTTATCACGAGATTGTGATGTTATTGAAAATAAATTTAAATATTTTCGACCAGGTAAAAAAATAATCGATATTCGATTTTTCTCATGCCGCTCCTATTAGAAAACTCTTCTCATGAGTAAAAAATTAATATTGGAAAGTTATTAATTCACTGAATGTGATTTCAAAATTCAATAGGAATAGACCAAGGCAACCATTCAAGTCCCTCGGAAACAACGTACTATTGCATAAAATTTTCCCATATTTTTGCAGTGCTATACGAAAGAAATAATATTCAACTTCAATTCAATAGAGTTATCATTTTTGATTTTTTGAGATTTATCTAGAAGAAGTTTAGGATTGTATCCAAAATAGAATTATAATACAAATATTATTTCGTCCAATGCGTATTGACTCTTGAAGGTTTTCTTTATTCTGATAAGCAACAGGGTTCTATTCAAACGGGAAAATGTGTAGAGTCCTTCATGTCATGAATTACAGAGTCAATATAATTTAGATGTTATATAATTTGATGTCAGAATGTATAATCAAGGCAATTGAATTCTACTTCTCATAATGATATTTTACTTTTATACATGTGATAATCAGACTGGTCTGGAAAAGAAACATTTCTTAGTTGATATTCTATCTGATTAAATCCAACTTCTGAAAGTTAGTACTCTTCACCAAACCAGTTATCTCTCATGATTAGAATTTGTGTGTACAACAAGATGTTAGAAAACTAATACTTCTATCAAAGTTTTTGTGTTGTTCGAGAGAACAGTTCACATCCTAACGTCCTCAACCAAAGATGTGCGACAAAATGTTGGGTAGAGGAATTAAATTTCGATCATCTATTTTAGACGGCAATCAACCATTTGATATTATTCCTCCATCTCATCAACAACTTAAAAATGATGATGGTAATTTACGTTTTCAATCTCCTGTTCTAATAACAAATAATAATACTGACCCCGCACGGAGTATTCCATCGAAAGTATTACGTCCATCAGGACGTCTAAGTAATTTAAATCAAAATCATACGAGTGAATATCAAGGCCAAAAATTACCAGGTGTCGGTAATCTACGTGATCCAATATTAGAAAAACGTATAAAACGCGATCGTGCTGCAACTAAAATTCAAGCTACTTATCGTGGCTATACAGTTAGAAAATCGCTTAATTGGATTAATGAAAATCAAAAACAATTAAGTAGTGAATCTAATAAACGGGTATATTCTTCATCGAATGCACATTTTTTGCATGAAAAAAAAAACGATATTTTTGTTTTTCAATAGCCTACTCATAAATCTACGAAAAAGTCTTCCTATACAAAAGATGTTTACGATAATCCAGGGATTAATTTAGATATTCATTTCAATGATGATAATTTTACTATTGGTTCAACATTGTTACGTCATTATCAACACAAGGAACCTAGTCCAGTTCTAGCCAAACGTACGAAAGAATCGAAATTGTAATCGAACATTATTTTTCTTTTTTTTAGATCCGTCAAGATCTGATAGATCCGATCATCAATCAAGAAAAATCGAAAAACCAATAGTTTCAGAAATTTATTCAGATGATTATGAAAATACAGCAAGCTCAACATCATCTGTATCAATCCATCAACAACAACAAAAAACACCACAAAAACCTCGAGTTATTGAACAACCAGTACCCAGTAAGTTTTTCATAACTAACATTTTTAGAAACAGTGATACTCCCCTGTGAATAACAGTAAAAACAATGAGCACGCTGGGTGTACTGCATAAGAGATACCCACGCATGATGTAGAATATAAGTGCTACTTTATATTTTATCATAACTATGAAGTTTAAGTTATTATTGAGAATCATTCAACCAGAAATTAACTACGCGTAAAACTTCTTGTCTAGCCATGTTTTTCAAAATAAATCATGCAGACCGATATGTATAAACATTGTTCTCCTGAACTTGATATAAAAACAATTAATCAATAGGAATATAGATAACCTACAGGGCGATTCATGTTGATACCATTGACTCCAGAAAGGTTTCATTGAAAACAAACTGAATATCTTGTTATTTCGGTGCTTTAAATGTCTAAAAATAACCTGAACTGATTGCTATAAAACTTATTTAGATAAACGAAGTACAAGTTCTTCGACGGCATCATCATCCTCATCTACGGGCAGCCTAACTCCGACACCGGAACCTTATGTACCTTCTAATGTTCAACGTCGTCGTTCATTGTCCCCTCCTATACCGCCACCAATGTCACCAGATAATGGCCGACCTTTCCGCCAACCTCCTCCTCCAATGACAAATTCGAAACGAATATTCGATGAACGTCGTTATTCACCTGATGCACTTGAAAGACAATTAAATGCTGAATTACATTTACTCGACGGTGTCGAAGCATCCATGAAACAGATCGACAATATGGAACGGTTACGATCAGTTACACTTGCTCAACAAGAAATTGTGTCACTTGCACAAGTCTTAAAAAACGTAGAAATTCTTAGCATTGCCTTTCTCTATCTCTCGAGATATATTTTCTTTTCATTATAGAAACCCACAACCGACAGTATACCACCACAGCAACACATAAGAAGGTAAATTAGTCATATAATTTTTCTTGTGCTTTTTAATTAAATCAATTTTAAGACCTGCTGTTCGACAAACTTCACCTTCATCTACAACCACTTCCACATCATCATCATCATCATCGAGTCGAAAACGTCGTCCGCCTTCTACACAACAGCCACCATCCAAACATAAATCTTCTCATCATCGTCGAAATCAACAATCATCTGATACATCATCACCTACACCATCGGAATCGTAAGAAGTTCGAATATATTTTTTTGTACTGATAATTTATTGATGTTTTTATTTTTTCTCCGATAAATTCAATTGACTAATTAAGGACATAACACAGAATTCAGAATAACTTCCTTAGATATTTTATTATATTTTTACTAACATACGCATACACGCAGCAATGTTTTGTTTTTCCCTTTAAACTGCTTCTAGTTTTTGTGTATTTATTTTTTTCATTAGTTTCAAAACCTTTTTTCAAGTGATAACATTAGTCATTCTAACGTAAATATCTTGGTAAACTAAGATTCGATTCCAAGACTGTTTGTGACGTTTTCCCACTATTTTCATTATTGATTAATTGTTGAATAAATTTTATAAAATCATTATACGATGTTGGACGATAGTCGTCGTTAGATTGATCATTATTAGCATTAGATTTACGATTAATACCATTTCCTTTTGATTCAGGAAGAGCCATAATTTTATCATATAGTATAAACCGTCGAGAAAAAAATTGAGAATGAGCTAATAAACCAAAGAATAAGATGGAAAATATAAAGCAATATATAATGGTCATTGTTTGAATGATTCGTTATATCATAAAATGCGATCTGTTTCAGATAGCTCTACGTTATATAAATGGTAAAATAAGAGAAAAAGAGGCGTGGGCGATAAAGCTGAGTTTTTCTTTGGCGAAAAAAGATAAAGAAAAGAAACTTGAATACAAATCTTTTTTTTCTTTTAGGATCTTAACTGAACGTGAGAAAAATGTACGACAAAAATATCATAGTGAAGTTGAATTACAAGCATATGAAAAACGTCTGACAGATATTGAAAAAAAAATTCGTAAACTTGTCAAACGTGGTATGTCTACTAGTACTCATACGATTTTAATCGAACTAAATCATGAATCTATCTATCTTCTTAAATAGCTCCTGATATATTGGACGAAAAACGCGATGTACCAAGTCTACGTGTACCACCAAAATCAAGTAATGATTCGAGTATTAGCGAAGATATACCTGTATCACATAGATCATCAAGGTAACGATTTCATTCTTATCCAGACCTTTTTCTTTGCATGCATTTTGTTCTCTAGTTCGACTAATAGTACAATTCGACGAAAGACAACCAATGATACTAGTGAAATTCGTACAGAAACGTACGTATTAATTATTTTTCTCTTATGTCCTATGAACCTAAAATAGAGAAATATCACCTTGTTTGAGTAAAAGAGCAACCGAGGCGAACGAATGAAATGCAAACAGTACGAATTTTACGCTTTGTGGCCTTTTCTTATTGGCTTCGGCAAGCTTTTCTTTTATGTAAGCGAAGTTCATCCGAAACTAAACTAGACAAATTTTCTTGATGTAATAATGCTATATATATATATATATAAATTACAATGACCTTCTGTCTAACATTTTGTATTCTTCTGTTCAAGAGACTAATAATGACTCTTTGAAAGAATGAACAAAAGCCGCGCCTCCTTCAACTTTCTGCATTGGTGCCGATCATTATGAGTAATTAAGAATAAAAGATGGGAATATAATTTTTAAGACGTTATTCACGGACTCGATAACTATGAAATGCAGATTTTTATTTTCAAATTTCGATGTTTTGTTGTTACATTTCGAGTGATACACTAAAAAACGAAGTGAACATCTACATCAACAATGATTTTAAGGAAGAATAAAAATGCAAAGTTTGCATATGTGGGTGTATCATCAAAGAGGATAAGGAAAACAAAAAGTCATAAGATCAAAAGAAAAAAATGTTCTAAAACTAGCGGGCTTCAACATACTTTCTGAACTTAACTTAGTTCTATGAAATTGTACACTGCTGTAATAGAAGTTTACATCAGTACATGTAATAAATTATCATCAACAATTACCCTTGGTAGTATCGATAAGAAGTCCATGTCTCTTTTTGTGTACTCAAAAAGTGAGTACACTCTAGAATCGGTCAGTGTGTCCGGCCGGTCGGCCGTAGGCACGATAACTTTCGAAAGGAGAGTCAGACCGTGATGAAACTTTCCACACAGTTCAATCTCATGAATATCTCGGTCGAGTTCGAACATGAGAAGGATCCCTCAAGAAATGGTTGAGTTATCGAAAAATTTGTCATTTTTGACCAGACCATCCTTGAGGAGGAGTACAGGGAGTTTTTTCAAAAAACAAATGTTTCTCAGAATTATTCACAACATATATAAATCGACTCAGTTTTTAACGCTGATTCCGAATCTGATATTAGTTTTGAGCTAAACCGTAGCTTTCTGATGAAACATCGCCTGAAAAACATCTCAAAATGCACAAAAACTGCATCCAGAAATCAAATTGCCTAGTTTCTCATGATAATTTTGGTGTTCAGACATTCTAGAATGACTCATATGTCCCATGCACTTTTTGCAATATACATAACTCTCGGATGAAATCCGAAGTTTCCACATTTATTTTAGATAATTAAGAGTGTACCATTTTATTCCGCTAATCGTACGCACGATTATCGCCACCACTGCATCCTTAAATATGTTAGTTTAATAATACACTACTTAGGCATTTTATAGTCAAAGAACTATTTGTTAGACGAGTGTTAGGAAACAGCGAGTAACATTTTTACGATTTGTCTAATTTTAGAGTTGATAAAGATAGCGATTCATCATCAACTTCGCTTCATCAACCACAATCAGGTAAATGTGTATGATATTTTGCCTTGGAAAATTCATCGTATTGTAGTCCTTTTAGAAACTATTACAACAGATGCTAGTGATATTGAACGTCGTATACGTGCTTCACGTGATCAATTAACTAGAAAAAAAACGGAACTTGAAAAATTAAAGCAACAAAAGAAGAAAGAAGATCTAAAAAAACAAGAAGATGAAATAAAGAAACAACTTCAAGTAACCATGATAAATTTTGTATATTGAACTATAACACTGACTAGAATACTTGAAATTTTCAGGCCTATGAACATGAAATTGAAACACTACGCCTTCAACCAGCATCCCCAAAAAAGCAACCCGAACCAAAAGTATCTATTCCTTCACGCCAATTGCCAACGACGTCGAGCACTAGCAGTAGTAGTAGCAGCAGTATTGCAACACCAGCAAAACAACAAGAATCAAGTATAGCTGAAGATTTACCAGCATCGGGAACATCTTCACAATCGAAAACGAATGGCGTTGTAAGTTTTCGAACGAATTAAATTTTTGATTTCAAAAACGTTTATCAATAGGAAAAACACGTTGAAGCAACTCGTCCAATAACAACGAAACGACGAGACTTTTTCGATGACGAAGAAGAAGAAGAAGAAGAGGAAAAGAAACCAGAATTAAAACCTTTAGAAACACCACGAGATGAGCGCGATACACTGCACGATGCTCTATCAGTATCGATTGCTACTGATATAGCTGCTGATTCATCAGAAACTGAAAACGATGATAGCCGGCGGCCAAGTGCTGACAACCTAAAGTAATTATTTCAATTTAAGAAGAAAGCTAACTTGAAGTTTTTTCCTTCATAATAATGAAAAATTGAATATATTTAATTATATAGGCCCACATTAAATCTGAATACGAAAGCTGTTTCGCCATTAAAATCTAAAACCGATTCAGAATCATCATCTTCGACAACAGCAACAAGTGAAAAATCTTCTAAGAAACAATCACAATCATCAGAACGAAAACCATCCATAATTGCCAATGATTATGATGAAGATTTTTCTGAAGTTACTCATTCACCTGCTAATACATCAAAAGAATCGATAGTAAAACCGAAAATTGATAACATTGATATTGAATCAATACAAGAAGATCTCGACGATAAACACTCATCTCATGATACAAATCGAAGTTCATCATCGAAATCAAGTGATGATGAACAATCTAAAATTCTTGTTCTTGTTAAAAAATCAGCTAATACAACACCTCGACGACAAGATGAGAAAACGCCTAATGATGATGACTTCTTCCCTTCGCCTGCCCCTCTTCCTCCTGTAACAGTACCACAAGCTGAAATTGATTTCAGTAATAATAATAATAATAATAATAATAATAATAATGATGATACTTCTCATGATGTGAGCGATGATGACGATGAAGCAAATGAACGTATTGAACAAGAACATAAAGTGGATAAATTAGCTGATTCAATTCTTCGAACATTTATTGATGAAGCTATTGGTCAAAGTAAACAAATTCAACTTTTAAAAAAGGAAACAAGCCAGAAAGCAACGGAATTAACACAAGAAGCTAAGGAATGGATGTCGGACGAGGAAGAAAGTGATGAAGAAAGTTCAAAACCAGTCATTGTTGAAACAGTAATTATTTTTCGTTGAATACAACAAAAGCATTTGTATTCGTATGTGTCATTTCGTTTAGGATGCTTTCGATCTTGATTTCAGTCGGCTGGAGGATAAAAATTGTAAGTTCAAATAATCGATATTTCATGAGATTAGCTCTTTGTATTCTCTCTCTTTCAATCATATTGTTTGTTTCCAACGTGTACCTTGTAGGTTTATGAACATTGTTTTGTTCTTGTTGACTGCACAACTAATTAAAACAATTCTAAATCACTAATATGATAACTGGAGCGCTAATGTTTCTTTTCACTTGGACATAATACGTAACTAACATAGTGATAACAGGATACTCTGAACTTTGTACAGTTACTAGGGAAAATTCATATTATTTTAAGATATTAACCCTATTCGATACTTTCAAGTGCTTTAGCGGAAATACTAGAAAACTCAATTTAGTGATGATAAGTATTAAAAAGCATTCGTCTTTAAACTTGAAGATGTAATGTCTGAATTATAAATGTCCTTGGTTATTTTCTTTCCCATTCAATCTTATTAAAGGTTATTGTGAAATATATGAAGATAGAGAAAAAGTCGAGCCGAAATGAAATTTTCGTATTAAAACATTCTATTAATTATTTTAGCTGATGAACGTCGAGTTGAAAGTCCTCGAAAAATAGTTATCGAAGAACAAGTGAAATCATTTGTACCTCATACATGCGAACAAGTGACTCAATTATGTCATGAAGCAATTAGAATTTTAATCGATCAAAATACAGACTTTACCAATCGATCAGCCATAAAATGTCAAGTACCGAATTCTTATTTTGCATACGATCAACAAGGTATTTTCTCTTGTTTGTTCTACTATTTTCTATTGTTGTTTTAATTAAATAGATTCCGATAATGAAGATATTCGACGTAATCGTCATGCTTATTGTCAAATGATATTTGACTTGTGCATTGAATTATTACATGAAATGTATTCAGAAAATATTCAACCAGCTAAATATCCGGAATGGCAAACATCGAAACTTATTCCGAAACGTTTTTATCGCGGAAATCAACCACAAAATCGTCAACATATTGAACAATTTGTTCAAGCAAAAATGTTGGAACTATTAAATTTACAGCCGCGCGAAATAACCTATACTAAGTGGCGTGTTTCAAAGGGAGCACATAGCGGCAAAGAAAAATTTGAAACAGTACTTGATGAAGAAATACGTCGTACAGAATCTCAATGGATAACATATAATGATGATTCTACACAATTGAAATTTGATATCGCTGATTCAATACTCGATCAATTAATACAAGATACAATCACAGATTGTTTAGATGTAGCTGATAGACGTTTCTATTTTAGTGGTGATAGTACACGACTTTAATTAAACCAAGAAAAATTCTTATTTATTCTCATCATCTTGGATTTTTTTGTAAATCTTTCTTTTTTCATTTTGCCATGTACTATTCAAGGAAGCCGATTTCTATTTCTTTTTTTCAGCTGTATTGTTTTGCTTGTGTGTGTGTGTGTGTGTGTGCTTGTGTGCTAATAAATAATTCGTTTGGCTTAGTAAACCGATAGAAAAATCCGGAGATTAGGATATATATATACAGAGAGAGAGAGAGAGAGAGATTTTTATTATTGATTCAATCAATCAAGATAATTATTTATAATAGGAGAATTAAAAAGAATGATGAATCTCTAGTTCGATATCTTCACTCCGATCTAAACATGACATAGATGTAAAACACATTTGTGCGAAATACAAGCCTATTCTATTCTCAATATTAAAGATGCATAACAACGATTGAAAAATCATTGTGTTTATCACATGCAACAGCGAGTATACAATAGGTTAATAAAAAATATGCATCATGACACACCAATTTGTTCTAATATATGAATGATTATATTATTGGAGAAGTTTCTCTCATAAAAAGAGTAACTTTTATTTCAAGAATTATTTTCGCAATGACCTTTAACTTGAGTATGTACAATTAAGAATTTTCATCATACTCTTTAAAGGCTTTTTTATTAATAGAAAAGCTGTTCGAAAATCAGTTTATTAAGATTCAATTTGGAGGACCTACTTCATATTGTTCACATACTGAATGCTTTCTGTTCGCCAAGAACACAAGAACAATTTGGACAAAAGTGAACTTTATCCTATACACATAAAAAAATATAATAAATGAATTACAGATATATTCTACTGTCATACCTTAAGAGCATCAATACAGAATGGAATTAAACAGCATCCCAAAAAACATCCGACAGGAGCTCCAAATAGACAAATAGCGCCACAGCTACCCCATGTCACAAGACCATTTTTTGTTTCTACTCTTGTCACAATATGTTGTTTGCAATTAGTACATACGCACTGTACAGGATAGTCACCCCTGATAAAAGGTGTTGGGAGTGGCGGTGCTGGATACGATGATCCGAAATATGGTGGAGGTGCTGCTGCATATGATGGGGGTGCTGCTGGATACGGTGAAGGGCCTGCTGAATAATCATTTTGTTGTTTGTTCATGTTGCTCGTGCTATGATAATCTAAAATGTTCAAATGAAAAACAATAGTTTTTTGAATAGTACATGGGCATTTCTTTCAAGCGTTACTACTTCTTCAAAATGTTTGCGAACTTTCTCTTGTTTTGTATCGTTCCCAACGATGATGGCGGTTCGTAATAATTTCTTCGATCAAATATGTGCTTAGTCAGCGATCGTAAATTATTTTGATGTCAGAAAAGAAAAATATGAAAGCGTATATTGTAAAACTTCTTTCTCTTTTTTTTAATGATTCTTATATTACATTTTCTCTCGTAGGGAATAGTTGAGTAAATAAATTTAACAGAGAAATAATGCCACCGCCTTCGTGACGTAAAATAATGAATCATTTTGTTGTCGAATGCAAGCGTAGGCGCGCATGAGACATGAGTTGCAGCGAAAAAACAGAATGGCATGTAACCGAACGAACACAGATGAGATTTTCACAAAAATAATAAACATCCTTAACTCGCCTGTCTCCTCACCTAAGTTAGTTATTTTGTTTTCTTTGGACTATTGTTTTAATTGGAAATGATTTGTAGAGCAGCAATCAAATAGATCGTTCATCACACACGAATTATATGTTCGGCTGATGATTCCTAATTCATTAACCTCCTCCCTCATATGATCTCATCGAGAGAAATCATGATGCCTAAACAAAAAACACAATGCTTCAATTTTTTTCGTTCTCCTGACAACGCCCTCAAAAGAGGAAGCCATATAGATGAGAAGCAACACTCTATCAGCATCTTTCCATTGCGCAACTAAAAATAGCGCCTACTAGACCTGTTGTATTAAAGAACGAAAAAAAAAGATTCCTCAATTTCCTTTGTATTTCATCAGACACATGACCACAAATCTTATTTCTTTGCTCTGAAAAAAAGAATGATAAAGTTGTTCAAACAATTTCGTATAGAACTTCAAAGTATCTTCAGTCAACTGTATTTTGCACATTCGTTCGAACTTATAACGATTTCGCGTGAGAATAAAATATTCTATCGATAGGTATTGGAAAGAACGAATATTCAAAACAAAAATAAGAATTAAATGTAGAGATCTTTATATTGTCTGAAATAGACGAAGTTAAGTTTAACTGCAAATATTGAAATAAGTGTTTAGCCAAGCCATGAAACTTCATCTAATCTTCTATGCATTAAAACGACTTTCTCCCAGTACTTGAAAGAGTTTATATGTTGAAAATCGAAAAATGTAAGTTTATTTTTTCGCTCGTATTCATTTTTATATGTAAAATTGAGAACTAAAGTTCATTACATATCATAAGTAGAAATTCAATCGATGTAAAACTATCATGTCGGATGTGTTGGATACCTTTTAATTTAAAAAATGCGCATACATGTCTAATATATGAAGTAATGCAAAAAAGAAATTCAACCACGTTGTTGTGTTTCTCGTTCTATACAAAAATGAAAGTAAATATTATTCTTTTCAACGCAGATCTTAATATTGACTCAAGCGCAAGTAATAAATGCCGAACAAGAGGATTCGCTTGATACTCAAAAATTCAATTCATTTAAAAAAATCAGGCATTTTGCCTATTTGAATTAAATTTCTCCTCAAGACATATCTTTTCGAGCGAGATAATAATCGCTAAGTCTTTCATGTATGTCAATGCATTCAAAGAAATAGCTTAGAATTCAATCGAGAAAAGAAAAAGAAGAAGAAATCAGCTTTATGCATAGTCAATCAATTGTTCAATTGGGTAGAGAAAAAAAAATTCTCTTTTCTTCAAGTAACAATTCAAGGTGGTAGGGCGCACATTGTAATGTGATCATCTTTATACCAAACCATATTCGTGACACTTATGTGACAAGATTCACCGAGACAATTTCAATTCATTCAAAGAAGAGAAGAAGAGAAAAAAATTATACTGTTATATTTCGTTTCTGTTCTGTTCGTTTTATGTTGTCGTTGTGAATGTGATCGATGCCATGCAAATTTAACAAGCGCATACAGGAAAAGAAAAGGTCATTATGTTGAAAGCTGTAAGCATAGTTACGTGTTTAGCCACAATTTCAATTTATTTTCTATTAATTAATATTATCTATCCTTATGTGTGTTGGAGTAAACATCGACCATCAGATGATGACAGTTATATGTCACCACCGACGGCAACATTTATCAATAAACGATTGACAAGAGTTTGTTCCAATAGATATCGATTCAATTTAATGCCTATGCCTTCGAAAATCATTGCGTCAAATCGAGCAACTACGATTCGTATTCCGTCGATGATTCGTATTGAAGCAAAACACTCGTTACCATTTCCAATTCCGAAATCATTTAATAATGCTTCATTTATACTTTCGATTGAGTATGAATATGATATGAATAATAATCCTTATCCGACTTTAGGAATCGATGAATCATATCAACTCAATATAACGTCAAACAATCGTGCTTTATTACGCGCTAAAACCTATGTTGGCATTCTACGTGGTCTTTCAACCTTTGAACAACTACGATCTCATGAAAAAGTGCCTACACCACTTGCTATTTTTGATAAACCTCGATTTATTTGGCGTGGTTTAATGTTGGATGTTGCACGTCATTTTATTCCAATATCAATTATTCAAAAAACAATCAATTTTATGCATTTAGTAAAAATGAATGTCTTACATTTACATCTATCGGATGATCAAGGTTTTCGTCTTGAATCAAAACGTTTTCCTCGGCTTCATGATTCACACGCATTTTATTCGCAATCAGATATGCAAAATCTTATTGAATATGCTCGACAACGTGCTATTCGTATTGTACCAGAATTTGATATGCCAGCGCATACATCGGCGTGGTTCATTGGCTATCCGCATTTAGCAACTACGCAAAAAAGTTCGTATCATTTAGAAAAAACATGGGGTGTTAAAAATGCTACTATGGATGTAACCCGTCCAAGTACATACGATTTTCTTGATAAATTCTTTTCGGAAATGACACAATTATTTCCTGATCGATATTTTCATATTGGCGGTGATGAATGTGAACCATATGAATGGATGGAATCAGAACAAATACAAAAATTTCTTAAAAAAGAACGATTATATAGTCATCAAGATCTACAAGCTTATTTTAATAGACGAATTGAAAAAATTTTGACAAAATATAATCGTAAGTATGATTCTAACATGAAATGTATTTGTTATTGTTTAGGGAGCATATCAAAATGTTTGCCGTTCGGCCGGCCGCTCTGCCGCTCTGCCGTTCACATGCCGCTCAGCCGCTCTGTCGCGGCATAAGCAATTTACTTTAATTACATTTTCAGGTGTGATCTGTTTCTTTTGATGTGCATTGCTACTTCTAGTGAATATTCCTTAGATCTACACTATTCATTTTCTCCAAAAACAATGAATTTCACAATTCGTCATAAAATTTTCGTCCAACTGTATTATGTTGAAAACGTGATAAGAATATTTTTCTCATTCTTTCTTGAGATTTTTCTTTTGTTTTGAACATCAGCCATCTGTTGTTTGGCATACTAAAAACTCTTTAAAAAATACTTGAAAACTTGATGATACATATTATAGATCAATTGATTTTATAGGAAACAGCTTGTGTCAAATTGAATACATGGTTAAACTTTAGTTCATGAGAAAAAGTGAAATAAAACAGTATCCATTATTGTATAGCAAATACTACTGATTGTTTTCTTTCGCGTAACACATAAACTCGGTCAATTATGATATACACATATATAAGTGAAGCCAATTAAGAAAAACATGTAACAAGAAATATGGAAACTTTATTCTCAATTATTTCTCATCACACGACAATGTTCATTTGGTAAAATCATACGGTTTTTGATTGTCTATTTAACTTTCATAATGTCCAAAACTAAAAAAGTACACGAAAAAACTCTCTAAACTGTTGAAAGTGGTGATGAGTCTAAGTTTGGATTAGAGAATAATGACATAGACGAGTTAATATGTTGTCAAGAGCGGTCACGTTGTTTTTCATCTATCTTTCTCTCTTTCAGTCCCTTTCCTAGCAGCTGCTAGGAAAGGGACTGAAAGAGAGAAAGATAGATGAAAAACAACGTGACCGCTCTTGACAACATATTAACTCGTCTATGTCATTATTCTCTAATCCAAACTTAGACTCATCACCACTTTCAACAGTTTAGAGAGTTTTTTCGTGTACTTTTTTAGTTTTGGACATTATGAAAGTTAAATAGACAATCAAAAACCGTATGATTTTACCAAATGAACATTGTCGTGTGATGAGAAATAATTGAGAATAAAGTTTCCATATTTCTTGTTACATGTTTTTCTTAATTGGCTTCACTTATATATGTGTATATCATAATTGACCGAGTTTATGTGTTACGCGAAAGAAAACAATCAGTAGTATTTGCTATACAATAATGGATACTGTTTTATTTCACTTTTTCTCATGAACTAAAGTTTAACCATGTATTCAATTTGACACAAGCTGTTTCCTATAAAATCAATTGATCTATAATATGTATCATCAAGTTTTCAAGTATTTTTTAAAGAGTTTTTAGTATGCCAAACAACAGATGGCTGATGTTCAAAACAAAAGAAAAATCTCAAGAAAGAATGAGAAAAATATTCTTATCACGTTTTCAACATAATACAGTTGGACGAAAATTTTATGACGAATTGTGAAATTCATTGTTTTTGGAGAAAATGAATAGTGTAGATCTAAGGAATATTCACTAGAAGTAGCAATGCACATCAAAAGAAACAGATCACACCTGAAAATGTAATTAAAGTAAATTGCTTATGCCGCGACAGAGCGGCATGTNAAAAATATTCTTATCACGTTTTCAACATAATACAGTTGGACGAAAATTTTATGACGAATTGAGAAATTCATTGTTTTTGGAGAAAATGAATAGTGTAGATCTAAGGAATATTCACTAGAAGTAGCAATGCACATCAAAAGAAACAGATCACACCTGAAAATGTAATTAAAGTAAATTGTTTATGCCGCGGCAGAGCGGCTGAGCGGCCGGCCGGCCGGCAAACATTTTGATATGCTCGCTTAGGTTCAATTAACTCATTGAGCTAAATTTTAGTATCTAGAGTTTTGACCTCACTAGAATTTATTTATTATGAAAAGTAAATTGGAATGGATTTGAATTACGAAATAAAGTTGATCCTACTTTTTTTCTTGTCGTTCACATTATTTTCCTTCTAACTATATAATATTGATCTTACAAACAATTCTATGTTTAGGTACAATGATTGGCTGGGATGAAATAAGTGCATCGAATTTTTCCAAGGAAGCAATAATTCAATCATGGTGAAATAAAAATTCTCTTTTCAACGCTATTCATCAAGGTTATCATGGAATTCTTTCACATGGTTTTTATTTAGATCATATGGCATCCGCTGATTATCATTATTCAAATGATCTTACGACCGATAATTTACTTGATAAAATCAAACAACAACGATTTCTAGGCGGCGAAGCATGTCTATGGACGGAATATATTGATGCTAATATGGTTCATTCACGTACGTGGCCACGTACAGCTGCTATCGCTGAACGATTATGGTCAACAAATTCGGACGAAATCGAATGCATGTACGATAGACTTACCTTTATGGACAAAACATTTTTTCATCCAAAGGATGAAAAATATATCAGAGATTTATCTAGATTAACATCAAATGTTAATGCTTTAAAACTTCTAGCTGATCTATGTGAACCATTAGGTTTACAAGGACGTGATCATACTCGTAATTATACAAGTCGAACGCCATTAAATCGTTTTGTTGATATTTTAAAACCAGAAAGTGAACAAACTCGACAATTAATTAAAACAAGAAATGTATCTCAATTATATTTAACATTTGCGTCATGGAAAATGAATCATCTGTACATTCAATGTAATGATTCGGATGTTTTGCAACTATCAGAAAATTTAGCTCGACTTAGTGAAATGGGCCTTCGGCTATTAAAATTACTCAGTCAAAATGAACAAAGACAAATTGTTTCGTCAAGATGGTACTATTATCAAATTTATATTTTAGATACATTAGAATATCAAGTACCTGAAATACGATTAGCCGGTGTTCGAGTTCTAAGGGATTTACTTGAGCAATTTGATCCATGCTCATTTGATTTAATTAATCTCAGTCTTATTGTATGTTTTCCAATTATTGTGATTTTAGCGCAACGTGTGAGTTTTATTCGACGGCATATTCTTTTACCATGTTTTAATTTTTTCTATTATTGCTGTGGTCGTTTTTAAGTCAGATGAATGAAAAATTTTATATTGGAAATAAAATATTAAAGGAGTTTCTATTTTTTATTATTATTTTATCAGTGTCATATGATCATGAAGAAAAACATATTTAGATAGTGATTTATTGCTTAGAGTTAGTTATATTAACATCATATTCTTCAATTAGATTTGGTAAAATATTCAATGATTCAAAATAACCATATTGTTTTGGTTTTCTATAATTTTCTCCATATCTTTCGACAATAAATTCTATTGGTACAATAGAAAATGTTTTGTTCAACATTTCAAATGATACTAAATTAAATTTTCTGAATTTCCATCGACATTTTTTGTATTTCATTTTATTACATAAACCATTATATGTTGCCGACCAATAAGCTGAAGATTTCGTTTTTGATTCCATAAAAGGATAAAAAACAAAAACGTCAATAGGAACGTTTGATTTGGGACATGCAAATGACCATTCTTTTCCATGATTCATTTCGCCATAATGATTACGAAGAGTAAAATTAAATTTTTCTTTCATAGTTGATACAAATATTTTATCATTGAAATTTCTTGCTTTTAGGTCTCTATAAAAAATTCCAATATCCATATCATTTGATAGAAAATTGTTCGAGCGCCAATACATAAGAGCACTACCAAATGTAAGAAACCATGGAATAGCTAATGAATCTAATGCTTGATGAACACTAACAAGACAACGAGTATAACTTTCCATAGGATAATGATCATTCTTGATACTGTTCAATGTCAATCCATAAAAACTAAACAAAACAACAGTAGAAAAAACTAAACAAAGCAGAAGACGATTTGTTATAGGCGGTATGATAAGCGACATGTTCGAATAGTTTAATTATTGTCAAATGCTAGGGGTAAAAATAGAGCCAAACAGCAAATTAAATCAAGTCTATACTTTAAACATGTACACAAAGAATCAGTATGACTTATGTTCTGTTGAAAAATGAGTCTTTCATTGCTTTCAAAAAGAACTAAGAACATTGACAATCATGTTGTTTAAAAACGCTATTACCAAGAAATTTGATCGCATTTATTTAGAGTTAGCGTTTCAGTACAGAAAGAAGAAGTCATTTGTTTTAGAAATTTTCACGGAGATGTATTTTTTGTCTTAAGAAAAAAGAATTAACAAAACGTTTAATTATAATACGGATTGAGATATATGAAAGAAGAATGAAACTTGTTCTTTTCATATTCAAAATAACATCGGCGATTTTTATTCATCACATGTATAGAGTCTAGCACGAATACGCTCATGTACAAATTCATCTGTTAAAGTCCAACCCCATTCAGGTGATAGTTGAGGTCGTTTATGTGGTGTTAATATAATAAGTTTTTTTGCTACAAAACGTAATTGTATCATAACCAATGGTAAATACGATGGTGAAATAAGATGTGCAGCAAAACTACATATAATAACATCATAAATTTCTCCTTCACTTTCTAAACAACCATCAGCTATTTGTTCAAATGTCCATCGTCCATGAATTGGATTGCCTGTACGTTTTTCATATGCTTCACTCGTATATGGATCAATACCATTGATATATTGAAAATCTAATTGACGAAGAATTAATGTAATTTCTCCGCTACCACAAGCTAAATCAAGAACACGTTCTGTAGGTTTTAGATTCCATTTTTCAACAAGTTGACAAACAATTTCTATTAAACGTGATTCGTGTGGATTTCGATAGTCTGAACCATATTGACTATAATAACCATTAACACCATATTTTTCGTATGCATGCCGAATAGCAAATTCTTCATCTTCATTATTATCATCTTGATTTGACATATTTCGTAATTTTTTTATTTGAAAAAAATGAATCGATACTAATTGGATATTTCAATACATGAACCACATAACTCAATTTTAATACTATACAATAGAGGACACTACAGAACACTTCGGTAAGATATGCGTGAGATTAGAAAAGCAGCATAGATATTTTGTGTTGTAATTAAACTTAGAAGTTCTTTGAAAACAAGATTTAACATGATAAGAAATTGGCGATTTTGTGTAATGCATGAAAAAATGAGCAGTTTTTGATTTGCATTTTAGTCAACGTTTATATCTGTTGTGCACTATTTTCTTGTATATAAAATAATTAAAAAAGAATCTTGGTCAAGGTGATCAATCTCTCACAAGGGTGTGGGTGTGGGTGAGTGTGTAGACCAATTGTCCGTCTTTCCCAGGACCCACACTTGTCATGTTGTGTTTGTGTGTAGACCCGTTGTCCGCCTATCCTGGCACAGAGCTGGGCAAAATACTCGAAGTACTCGTACTCGAGTACTGTTTTATTGGTACTTGTACTCGTACTCGTACTCGAAGGAGTGATACTCGTACTCGTACTCGAAGGAGTGATACTCGTAC